TGTCATGGTGTAAGGTCAAAGGACACAGTTGTTGGCTCTCTCCTCACACTATATGGGTCCTGGAGATGGATCTCTGGTTGACAGGCTTGGCAGAGGTGCCCTTAACCATTGAGTCATCTCACTAGTCCCCTTGCTTTGGATTTTTTAGTCAAGGTAGCACTATTATAACCCAGGCTGACTTCAAACTCATGCTATGATGCTTCTGCCTCAGCGTCCCTAGTTCTTGAATTAGAGGCAGGGAACACCATGCATGTTCAAAATTAAGCTATTTTATGAGTGTATCATGTACATACTTGGTATTTGCAGAGGTCAGAATAGGGCATCAGATCCCCTGAAACTGGAGTTACAAATAAATAGTTATGAGCCTCCATATGGGTAAGCCCCAATCCTCTGGAAGAGCCAGTGCTCTTAAACACTGAGCCATCGCTCCTGCCTATTCATTAATTTTGCAGTGTTAATGACCAACTCAGGGACTCACGGATGTGAGGCAAGCGCTCTCCCACTAAGCTCCATCTTTGCTTCTAGAACTAAACATTTTAAAAAGAAAACAATGAATTTGTAGTATCTTGGACCATGTCACAAATGAACTTAAGCTACTTGGGGTCAGGTATTGAGTTGCCATGGCTCTTGTATCAAATGTGCCCCTAGTACTGGAACTTTTTGCTGGAGTCAAAATTCTCAGCATAGGAGCAGTAGAGAAAACAGTGAGAAACAAATGTGTTCAATCATTTCACACATACAGAGTTCCATATGTTTTCATGTATGCTAGAGTATTTAAATTTATGAACTATTGTATGCTTCCTAAAGGCAAACAACTTTTGGGCTATTTTGTTGATTGCTTACAAAGTCGAGGTTATTCAGAGTACAAGTAGGTAACCACAAAACATATTAAACTGGTTTTTCAAGCTTAACCTAGTATCTCATAGTTCACTGAAACAGGAGAAATACTTGTGTCCTTTCTGAACTCTTACCCTGAAATAACATTTCTTACTGAGGACTGGAAAATTACAATGAGATGGACTCTGTATACAATACCCATTGAGGAAGGGTCTGTGTATTCTAGTCAGAGGTGGCATAAGTATTATTTATGACCTTCTTTCTTATGTTAAAAGAAACAGATGCTGGGGGCAAGGTGGTGGTGCACGCTTTTAATCCCAGCACTTGGGAGGCAGTGGCAGGTGAATCTCTGTGAGTTCAAGGCCAGCTTGGTCTACAGAGCAGAGTTCCAGGGCAGGCTCCAAAGCAATACAGAGAAACCCTGTCTTGAAAAAAACAAAACAAAAAAACCAATTCAAGTAGAAAATCAGGCCAATCATCAATAACCTTTTTATCTTGTGTAGCTCAGGCTGGCCTTGAACTCACTATGTAGCTGAGGATGGCCATGAACTTCTGACCCTCCTGCTTCTACTTCTTATGTACTGGGACACCACACCCAGTTTATGCAGTGCTGGGGATCAAACCCAGGGCCTCCTGCATGCTAGGCAAGCTGTCTATCAACTGAGCTACATTGAAGTCCCATTGTCCCAATGCAGTCCCATCGAATTTTCTTATAATCTGAGCATGTACATGTACATATCACACCACCCATGGATGCTCTCCTGCTGCACTAGCCGAGTTAAGTCATCATGAGTATTGGCTCATAAGGATGATAGTATTTACCACTAGGTTCCTTACAAAGTTTGCTTTGCACGGTGTCTTAATAAAACACAGTGATTTAAATAAAAAACACAATACAGTTCTGGGGAAAGCATGGGTTTGAGAGTCAGACCCACCATCCACTAGCTGTGTAAGCCGGTGTAATCAATTGCCTAACCTCTCTTGTGCCTCTATCTTGCACTTATAAAACGACCATAATGATGCTAATCTTTCAGGCCATACTACACAGAGGCAGGTTGAATTTGAAACCAAAACCTTGTGTCTTTACATATATGTAATTATTTGAATGTAAAATGTCTTCCACAGGTTTGTGTGTTTGAATACTTGTCCCCAACAATGGCACTGTTTTAAGAGGCTGTAGAATTCTTGGGAAGTGGGTCCTAGCTGAAGGAAGTGTCCCTGAGGGCCAGGCCTTAAGGATTAGAGACTGGGCACACTTCCAGCCTCAGATCTCTGCTTCATGACCTGCTCAGGTGTAACGGCTGCACCATGAGCTTTGCCACCATCATCCCAAGCTGCCCTGCCTTCCTACCATGAAGGGCAGCTTCCTCTCACACCATGAGCCAAAGACACTCTTTCTCTCCTAAATTGCTTCTGCCACAGCAACAGGGAAATTAATTCAATATGCTCGTTAATTCAACATGCTCATTAAAGAGCTGAGGTATGGCTCAGAGGTAGAGCCCAGCACTTTTGAGGCCCTGGGTTCAATCCTCAGCACCACACATGCAAGCGAGTGTGCGCATGAACTAGCACACACACACACACACACACACACACACACACACACACACACATATCCTTTGGTATTTTGAACCAACTGAAAACAGTTCATCAACACTCTACTATAAAGGGGGGGAGGGAAGGGAGTCTCTAAATAAAGCTTTGTGTGATTAGGTCTGTTTACACAGCGTCAACACCACTCATAAACTGCCGCAGAAGGAAGTGAAGCTAGCCTGGGCCGCAAAGGAACCGGTTGCTGATTAGAAATGACTTTTTTCGCCAGCAGTACAGATGATAAAACAAAACAACAACAACAAAAAATAACCTATCTTTAAGTAAGTTTTTAACCTTCTGTCCGCTATGCATTTATTTGCAATACTTTTGATACTTTAAATATTGTATTATTGTATCACTTATTGGGAGGGTTAGATGGCTCAGTGGGTAAAGGCACCTGCTGCTAAGCCTAGTGGCATGAGTTTGTAACCCACACAGTGGGAAAGAGAGAACTTGATGCCAGCAAGTTGCTCTCTGATTCCACTAGCACAGTGTGGTTTGTGTATATATGCACACGAATACACACACACAAACAAATTAATTACTTAAATGTAATTTTTTAAGTTAAAACAAACATGGGGCATGAGAGATGGCTCAGCTGTTAAGATCACAGGCTGCTCCTCCAGAGGACTCAGGTTTGATTGCTAGCGCCCGCATGGTGGCTCACAACTATCTATTAACTCCAGACTCCAGGATGCTCTCTTCTGGCCTCTGTGGACACTGCATACACATGGTACACAGAACACATTCAAGAAAACACTCATACACGTCAAATCTCAAAATAAAATTAAAAATCGCTTGATTTCTGACTTTTGGTGTCCCATGTCTTGGATGTTGTTTCTGGGGGTGTTCAAAGAATTACAAATCATGCCTAGGAGGTTCCCAGAGCACATAGTAGATACTAAATCATTAGCAACTGTTGACGACAGCCTTGGAAATTACTATTTACTACCTAGGGTGGTACACAGACTTGAAATGATGCTGTCAAAGTGGGCTGGAAATAAATCCTAACATAATTATTATAAATTTTCTAGGTCAATTCTAAGCTTCACTTATTAACATGCTTTTATGATTTTAACAGTTTCAATCGGTTTACAAAATTGAGTTCTACCGTCTTATCCTTTACATTTTTTTTATTTAAAAAATTTTAAAATGTCACAGCTCACACCTGGGTAGGAGTCTGTATTCTCCCCCCCACCCCCGCCCACTTTTCGGGAGGTTTGGGGTTCTAACTCAGTTCTCAGACTTGTGCAGCAGGTGCTTTTACCCTCTCAGCCATCTCGACAGCCCCTCTGTGTGAATCTTAAAACATCTTTGGGCATTTAGGAAAAGCATCAGAATTAGTTTAATGAGTATGTTTCCTTTCCCTCTTTCTGGAGTGTGTGGTGTGCATGTTTATGTGTGTGCATGCTCACATGTATGAGTGCACTAGTGCGTGCAGAGGCCAGAGCTTAACAGGCATCTTCCTTAGTTGCCCTCCACCTTAAAAATTGAGTCAGGAGCCGGTCGGTGGTGGCGCATGCCTTTAATCCCAGCACTCGAGAGGCAGAGGCAGGCGGATCTCTGTGAGTTCGAGACCAGTCTGGTCTACAAGAGCAAGTTCCAGGACAGTCTCCAAAGCTACAGAGAAACACTGTCTCGGGAAAACAAAAACAAAAATAAAACAAAACAAAAAAATTGAGTCAGGGTCTCTCACTGGAACCTAGAGCTCCCTGACTGAGCCAGACCAGCTGGCCAGCTTGCTTAAGGATCCTGTTTCTGCCCTCAGAGCTCTGAGGTTGTAGAAAAGCCTCCATACCCTTAGGCAGTTATGTGGTAGGAACCTACTTCCTTTTCACACAAAGCTTGTGACTGTGAATTCTGGCATAGCTTTTGTTTGCTTGTTTGTTTTTTGAGACAGGGTTTCTCTGTGTAGCCTTGGCTGTCCTGGAACTCATGTAGACCAGGCTGGCCCCAGACTCAGATTCGCCTGCCTCTGTGCTGGGATTAAAGGCTCTCTACAAGGACTGAGAGTGAATTCAGCTCATTTTGCTAGCTCACCCTAGAGACTAAGATTTTCTTTTTTATCTTATTACCTTTTTTTGTATTGGAAATTGAACCCAGAACCTCATATACATGCTAGGTGTGTTTATCCTACAACTGAACTACATCCTCAGCCTGGCAATGAATAATTTTTAAGTTATAAATCTACCATGCAACATTGTAAGGAATTTATGTATATGAAATTATGGAGTCTGTAATAATAATGATTTAAATACACTTAAATACACGAAAGTATAACAATTTACCCTTGCTAAAAATGTGAAAAGGAAAAAAAATGAACAAGTTTTTACATTTAAAAAAAAAGTTACTTAAGTTCATATGGGTAGAAAGACACAATTTAGTTATGACACAAATTAATACTACTGTAGCCTTTTCAAGTTAATTCAAAGAACAGCTGGATCTATGATTAATGAAAAAAATCAATATAAGAAAGCTCATTTTATCCATAGCTCCTGGCCTCAGAAATGGTCACATAGAACTTTGGAAGTCCATTAATATTTTTTCAACGCATTGGCTAAAAGACCTACCTGATTTCACCAAGCACAGCAAACTGATAAGAAAGTACAGCCTCAACATAGGGATCAAGAGATCATGTGTCCCAAACACAAGATGTGGCCCACTCAGCAGACAGAGCCCGGCACAGTCGGGAGTTTGGGAGTTGGTTCTCCGGGAGAGCTCACTGGGCTAATCCCCAGTTAGTGACAGCAGGAAGTCCCCGAGGGAGGGACTGCAGCCCTGCCAGGATCTTTGACTCCGCCTCTTTGCAATAAAAGGTCTGGGATTTTCGGCTTGCACAATTGGTGTATATGTTCATGTTTCATTTGCATCGTGGTTCTTCGTGGGCGGTTTACTAGCTGTTTGGCTTGGTGTGTTGAAATCAACCTAATTTGAGAGCCTTCTCCCTTATGAATGAAATGATAAATCCTGTCAGTATTCCCCTTGACTTCGTACACAAAACCACTTTACTGTGTTAATTCACACAGTAAACTGTGCACAGAACAGTTTCCACAGAACAAGTCTTTAAACTTTTATTAATAACATTTCATTCAGTTCAGTTATATGGCTGTGTTTACAAACGTATCTATGCCGCACACTAAAGACCTTTTTACTTAACCATATTTTCCCTTCTTCCTATCCAGAGTCCTTGTCTCACAGCTGAATTTTCGTTTTTTGTATTTTATTTATTGGTGGTAGGCAGGTGGGTGTGTGCCATGGTCCCCATCCTCCCTAGTAGGGGTCAGAGGACAATGTGTTTGATCCTCTCTTTCCATCATGGAGATCTTGGAGATGGAGCTCACATCCCCTCAAGCCTGTGGGAAAGCAGGAAGCATCTACACCTTCCTAACCTTTCTAACGTCTACACTAGGTGTAACTAACCCAGCACTGTGGGTCGGGGCGGGGGAGGGGTGAACAGTGTCTACCCTGTAGTAAGCCATGGAGTAGATGAGGGTGGAGCACTAATGACAGGCTACCCTGCAAAGTGATTAGTCCTCTTTCTAGTGAAATCCTTCAGACATCAAGCTTCTGGTTACTTTATAAGCTTAAAAATGATAAGAAAAAAAAAAAAAACCCACACTGTCATCCAAACATCAGGCAAAGCCATTAGTCTACGTGTCAATTGTCAATGTGAGGTGCTTTCCTGACTCAGGTGACACATGCCATTCCCAGGGCCTGAGGCAGGAGGACTGCAGGTTTGGAACCAGGCTGGGCTCTATACCAAGATCCTGTCTCAAACAACGGGGTGAGGGGTTGTTTGGGGGGACACCGTCTGACACAATACATCACCTCTCATCAATGTCTATGGAGTCCTTGCATTTAACTACTAGCAGCTACTTGCAGCGGTGACCAAGGAGTGAGTTCATCACAACCACCGGGGGAGCTTTTTAACAGTACAGCGGTGCCTGCATGGTAAAGCCAGCACTCAGAAGGCTAGGTGAGAGGATATTAATTTCAAAGGCCAGCCTGGGCTCCATAGCAAAGACCCTCTTTAAAAGGAAAACAGAAAGCCAGTGTCTGTTTCTGTGTCACACCTGAGACCTAATGAATGTGAAGACTACTGGTGTGCTGGTCCACTAATCTGAATTCAGGTCCCATATCCTCCACTCACTACGTGTGTGGCCTCAATAAATAAAATATTTAAGTGCTATGTGTCTCAACTTTCTCAGTCATGAAATGAAGATAAGATCACTCAACTCAGGGTAATTACACAGAGGTATTGCAGCTGAAGTCTTATGCACTGTGCCTACTGCCAAGGTTAATTACTCCCTCCACTTGGTAATTCCATTTACTGTCTTTCTGGCCATACAGCTGGCATGTCCCCTCCCTCTGAAGGCATGCTGTGGAGCTGAGAAGGGCCTTCAAGAGGGACTTTAAGTCCTTTTGTGAATACTGCAGGAACACACTACAGTGTGTTTTGCTATTGTGGCCTGTTTGAATTAAGGGACTGTCAATAGGATACGCAAATCAACACCTGCCAGCTCTTCCACTTTGCATTCTAAGCCTTGCTCATTTGAAAACACTGACTCTCTGAACAGAGAATCGTTCCTTCTGTCTCTTTAAGGGACCTGCCCTGGAATGTGCCCCTCCCTGTCAGGTCAGTGTAGTTCCCTGATAAATATTTGTTGAGTTCCTATCAGTTTTGAGTGCTTATCTGGACTTAGCTAATGTCCTTTCTTTGGGGGAAACTAGCCAATCGTATAGGAATAAGGGCCATCCTCTGTGTGTTATTAATGGTTAGGACACAGAGGTTCCCCTAATTTCATGTCCGGTGCTCCGTTTTCCTTTTCCTTCCAGCATTCAAAACAGCAGAAAATCAATGGAGGAAGCTGTCCTTTGTTTTTTAGATAACTAAAAATGTTGACACTGTAATAAGAAATACCAACTGTGTAATAGGAAAACAGAACACCCCAAAGGTGGGGGAGAGGAGAATAGAGTAGGTGTGGGTATAACCAAACAGCACAAGGAGTTTTATCGGTTTTGTGGTTGGGGATGGGATCCAAAGCCTTGGCTCAATAAGCAAGAGCTCTACTGCTAAGCTGTCTTCTTAGCCCTGCAAGGGATTTTTTTTTTTTTTTTGGTTTTTCAAGACAGGGTTTCTCTGTGTAGCTTTGGAGCCTATCCTGGCAGTCTTTCTGGAGACCAGGCTGACTTCGAACTCACATCGATCCACCTGCCTCTGCCTCCGGAGTGCTGGGATTAAAGGCGTGTGCCACCAACAACGGGCTCCTGCAAGGGATCTTTTAATGGTGGAATACTTTTGTATTTAAAACTGAGGCAGCCACTACAGAAAGCCATGCAATGAGACTACAGAGAAACACATACACACACACACACACACACACACACACACACACACACACACACACACACACAAGAGCATGTAATGCTGACAGAGTCTAAGCTAGGTCTCTGGGTTGTGCCAATGTCCACCTTCTGGTTTTGATAGCATGTTAAGATGTAAGAAGCTGTGCTGATGGGGAAATGGGTGGGTTTTTTTTTTTTTTTTTTTTTTTTTTTTTTTTTTTTCCCACACACCTACCAACCAATAATTATTTCAAAGTGAAATGTGTTTTTAAAACGTAAAAAATGGGTCAACTTTTAGGGTCATTGAACAAACATTAATTTAAAAATATTCTGAGGAAGCTCTGTCTTTATCTCCATTAGCTAACCAAGATTCTCTCAGTCTGGTGGCCGTAATAAGGGACCACAACTCACAGATATCATTATCTTCTCAGTCCAACCTATCATCATCATCATTTAGTTTAGTCTTCTAAGACAGAGTCTCATGTAGCCCATGCTGGCTTCAAACTTGCTATGAGGCCAAAGCTGGCATTGAACTCCTGACCCACTTGCCTCAGCCTCCCAAGTGCTGGGACTGTATGTGTGAATCACCGTGCCTGCCTCTGCAGCCTATACTATGTATTATGTATTTGCCCTTTCTTTTTTCCCTATTTTCTCACTCACCACAGACACCAGAGTAGAAAGTGGCAGGCAGGCTTCTACTATGTGGACCGGAAGGGCAGGTATGGAGGCCGGATGGAACTGGGGAGAGGTCCTTTTATTATTCTCTTTTTCGACAACCAGGAAAGGTGACCTGTGTCCCCACCCATCTTGGTCTAGGGCTATGCTGCCGTATGACTCACTGTAACACCCTTTTGTCAACCTGCTTGTTTCTCATTTGGAATGCAAGTTCAGAAAGATGAGTCAGTTTGCTCAACTCATATCCAACAAGAGATTAGATTTATACTCCCCAAACCACACGTTTCTCCCTCCCTCCCTCCCTCCCTCCTCCCTCCCTCCTTCCCTTAAATAGCTTTCTTCCTTTAAATAGTGGGTTTTGTTCATTTGTTTGTTTTATACCTGTTTTGTTTTGCTTGCTATTACTGAGTGTAGAATATTCCGTTATACTGTATGAATATATGTCTCTGTGCTTGCTTTAGTAAAGAAGCTGACTGATCAATAACTGGACAGGATAGGTTACGAGGAGAACAAAACAGAGAATTCTGGGAAGAAGAGCGGAGTCAGAGAAGTATTGAGCAGATGAAGACAGAAGCAAGTTGGACATGCTGTACTGAGAAAAGATACTAAGCCATGTGTCAAATAGTAGATAAAAATATATAGGTTAATTGAAAACGTAAGAGTTAGCTAGTAACAAGCCTGAGCTATTGGCCAAACATTTACAATTAATATTAAGCCTCTGTAGTTACTTAGAAGTGGCTTGTGGGACAGCCCTTCCCCCCTCAATAGTTTTCAATTCTATTTCATTTTAATTTTTTAAAAATATTTTTAATTATTGATTCTCTGTGGTTTTACATCATGTGTCCTGACCCCACTCATCTGCCCTCTGCCCTTGCACTCCCCCCAAAAACAAAATTTAAAGGTAAAAACAAAAAAAAAAAACCACAAAAAAAGAAAATAAAAATAAAACAACAAAAAGACAAACTTTAAAAAAAAAAAAATCTCGGGCCTGGAGAGATGGCTCAGAGGCTAAGAGCACTGACTGCTCTTCCTGAGGCCCCGAGTTCAATTCCCAGCACCACATGGCAGCTCACAACTGTCCAGTTCCAGGGGGATCTGATACCTTCACACCAAAGCACATAAAATAAAGTTAAATAAATTATTAAAAAAAATCTCAACTTGGAAGTTGTGTGGCTCAGTGAGTCACACAATATATCCTTTAGTCCATGCATCTTTAGTTGTACTTTGTGTTCAGTGCAGTGAGTCTGGCTCCAGACCTCTGGCTTCTGCTACACTATTGATGCTGGGCCCTCACTGGGACTCCTCATGGAAACCCTGTTGTTGCCTAGTGTCATGCAGATCCTGTAGCTTTGGATCTGCAGGTCTGGCCCCTCCACATGCTCCAGCAGTTCTTAGATGAGGTGGATGTTGGGGTGAGCCAACACATATCCCTGGGTGGTAGCTGGGTTGGTCAACCTACCAGCTTTCCCCCATCATCACCACCCAGACAAGCTCTCCAGCACTGCCCCAGCTAGCTCACCAAATTTAACAGACAACAAAGAGCAGGAGCCAGTTCTCCTGCTCTCATACCTGGGGTCCAGCTCACCTACACCACCGGGGCCAGCTCCACAGTTTTGTCCAGGTAGGGCGCAGGGCCTACTCTCCAAACTGATGCACTTGGTAAGAAAGGAGCAGGAGCAGCTAGCTCTTCCATTCTCGTTCCCAGGCCGGCTCTCATACCTGAAGGGGGGAAGGCATATTTCCTTAACCCTTGCCACCCGAAGGCATATTCGGGAGACGGTGGGGACAGCTCTCCTGATGTCACACCCACAGGCCAGGCTCACCTGTGACCCTGCCAAAAGTGTCAGCTCTATTGTGCTGCCCAGGTATGGTGCCAGGCTGGGCCGGCTCTCCTGAGTGCTGCTGGTGGTGGGGGTCAGTGGCAATTCTCCACTCTCATGATCTCAGGGCCAGCTCCCCCATCCACCACAGGTGACAAAGGGCAAGGGGGAGGGGGCAGGGAGTACATCTTTCCCTCTCCTACTCCACCATATGGGGGTGGGGGGAATGGGGAGGCCTCAGACTCCAGCCACTGCATTCCCAGTCATTGGGAATTCTCTTTTCAGGACCTAAGTTTTTAAACTTTTATTAATTTTAAATTTTGGTCCTCCACCCCAACATGTGAGCATTTTGAAAATCCCAAAACCGGACCGATGTGTGAGCGCTCTTTGTCTTGGTCTGTCATTTTGTGTTATTTTGTTGTCTGCCAGTGTTCTGTGTTTCTTTCTCTGGGATAGTTGTTTGTTTGTGATTATGTCTACTAATCTCCTTTATTTTCCCAAAAGGGATGAGGCAAATAACCTCTGCCCCCCCTCAAGCATTACATTGAAAAGAAGACAGCCTATCTATCTCTGTTGCCCTCGGCCTGTAGCACTGGGGCAATGTGGGCCAGCAGGGCTGTGGGGCAGCATGCTTGTGTGGATGGGGGTCCCCTCAGCATGCCCTGGGGGCTGCCTGCCTTGACTTCTGGGCAAATGTGGCTGAGGGTTGCCTCTGTTGTCCAAGCGCGGGGAATCATAGGGTTGCTAAATTATGGCAGCTGTGTTGTGATGCTGTAGCAGGACTACAATGGAGCAACCTGTTACAGCTGAACACTTCCCTCCACCAGGGCTCTATTGGTCATTCAGATCCCATGGGTTTTAAATATCTGTCATCATTTAGAGGGTTTGGTTAAAAATTATTATTGGTTAGAGTGGAAAAACAAACAAACAAACAAACTACTGCTAGTCTCAGGTACAGGTTTTTATGTGTTAATGTAAATTTAAAGTTATTTGAACATGTTAGGTTAATTCTGGTTAAAGTTTTGCCTTGTTAGAAAGTTTTGTCTATTTCCTGAGAAAGTTGTGTATGCTTGTTTTGTTAAAAAGTTTTGTCTGGTCGGGAGGCAGAGGCAGGCGGATCTCTGAGTTTGAGACCAGCCTGGTCTACAAGAGCTAGTTTTAGGATAGCCTCCAAAGCCACAGAGAAACCCTGTCTTGACAGTGACACAGAGGAAACCTTTAAATAAGCATGCATGAGTCTATGGAAGGAAGAGCCATAACCTGTTAAAATTAAAACTAGTTAAAACTAGTAACACTGGGAATTGATAATTTAAAAACTGTGCATGGGTAATTCTAAAAAAAATAAAAATACCAATTTGGATTGCCATCATTTTTTTAGTCAGTCACATGACTGGTTGCCACTTTGCTGGAGTTTAAAAAAAAAAAGAAAAAATGTCTTTCACAGCCATCTTGATTAGAGGTGACCACATTAAATGGGCCTAACTAGGAGACAACAACAGATCTCCAAGGTATTTTGGGTTGGGGTAGATTTTTATATGATAATTTATGTCCTGTCCTAAGAACAAGGTTTACAAAAAAATAAAATTTAAAATATTAAAGCTACACCCCAATGCTTTTACACTCAAGAGTGTACCTTGCTCTGGCATCTAGACTTTGTAAATTTAAAAGTCACTCAGGTGATAATGGTTTTAGAGACATGAAGGGTTCATGGGGGACAACTGAGGTTTGCAAATGTATGACAGGACTAGAGTCCCAAAGAAAGTCGTGTTACAAGGATGGACCTTAACACTTTTAGAAACGCCAGTGCCAGGTGACAGTCATCAGAAACACCAACTACAGGAAAATAGGCTAAGATCTAGAAGGCAGGCTATGTATATGCCAAAGAGGTGATCCAAGTCTCTCTAAAAAAAGGGGGGGTACTTATTTTTGATATTGCAGAAAGATATTTGAGAGATTTTAAATTTTTTTAAAAAAGAGTTTTTAAAATGTTTACATTTAGTGTTTGTTAAGTCCTACGACCTGGTGTCGTAGTACCAGCAGTACCAGGATGCCACAGCTGAGGAGGAGGGAAGGTTTGAGGAGGAGGCAGAAGAGGAGGTGGCCTAGAGCAGTCTTAAGCAGCTAAAGCATGGGAGCAGTGTGAACTCCTTATTCATTCACAGCCTGTCTGCTAGCCATGTCCCCTGTGCATTTGCTGTCCTGTCCTGACATCACTTGTACAGATACCACCATTAAAGCAATTCATAGCATGTAAAAAAAAATATTTAGATTTATAAGGCTATGGGAGATTTGTGCTTATACAATGTTTTATATTTAAATTTAAAATAAAAAGCTAAAAATTAAGGTCACAGCAGTAAGCCCCAAAGGTTAGCCAAAAACTGGAATGTTTATTTCTTGTGATGCAGCAAGACAATGGCCTAAGCCTGGCAAAGGGCTTGGAGCATCTTCAAAGCCCATGGGGCTCAATCCTTTGGGGGCTGAAAAGCCTTTTTACTGGGGTACCCTAGGACCACCTGTATGTCAGATTTTGCATTGATATCAAGGGCAGTGCTAGCCCCTAGGCTCCCTCCTGTTCCCATTTCACCCTGGGCCCTTTCCCTTCTCACCTTTCCTGGCTCTCCCAGGAGACAGCCTTAACAGCTTGATACAAACTTGTTTTGTTTTTCCCTTGAAATAGCTAATTTGGTTTATTAGCTTCAATTCAAAAATCATTATTTTTAGAGCTAAACCTGACAGGAATGGAATGTAAAGTCCTCGTCTTATAGAAGCTGATAACAATCTTGTAGATTGTTACAGAACACAAGTTAACAGTCATCCTTATAAATAATCAAGTTCTTTAATTAGAATCAATTAATTACAGGGATTGAATTTACTTAGTCCCTTGTATATGTTTCCAAAGGTTAAGCTTAAAACAAGTAACTAGAAACAAAGTTGTCTATTCAAATATACCTGGGAAGTCCTCAAATACTTCAGAGATCTACAAAATATGACATGTAAAATGTTGATTAAAAAGCTTATTATATCAGACAGAGACTCCAGGATCCTAACAGTGAGCCAAGATCTCCAGAGAAGAGTTTGGGGCACCACGATGTCTCTACCTGGATTATGAGGATGCTGACACTGGGTGAGATGCCCCAACACCTGTCACCAGGACCTGGCCCAAACTGTGGACAAGCAACAGGACACTGAAGAATTGATTACATCACTTTTGCCTAGACAAAATAAGGTTGGTCTTTTCCATGTCCCTCTTCCACAGAAAAACCTCTCACCTTATGGGCCTGGAGAGACTGTTGCTCTGATACTTCTGCCTCCAATGCTATGGAGAACTAGGTATGGCTGAGTGGGTATGGACTGGTCCCTGTAATTTTTAATAGATTTGAAAGCTGCTTGGAATTTATCTTTCTTGGATCTCTGATAGTATTGATGGCTAGGCTAGCTATAACTTTGTCAGCTTGGCAGCATCAGACAACCAGATCCTTCTGAAAGGCTGTGTCGAGCTTGTTAGCTCATTTTATATATAAAAATCAAGCCTTAATATGGGTCCAAAAATGTCTTGAGATATAAATACAAATTATAAAACTATAAATAAATAATTTAAGATATAAAAATGTTTCAGATTGTTTTCCTCTTCTGTGGTATAAAAGTTCAACATTTAATAAAATTCTGATAAACTGGTGAACAATGACTACTTACTGCTCAGGCACAAGCTCAAGATTTTCGGTTTATTTTGGTTGCCATCTAAATATAAACTTAAATGTGCTTCTTGTCAAGCCGAAGATATCTCTGTCCAATCTATACCCAGCTCTCAGGACAGAAAAAAAGTGTACATACTTCTAACCCAAATCTGTAGTTTTTGCTAGGACTCAAAGTTTATTCCTGCTGTTTTACCAATACCCATTACCTGCTTTTTCTACAATATGGGTTTCAGTACAGATTGGTAATACTAATATATCTAAAACTTTTATGTCTTTTTATAAAATAAAAATTCATATAGGAATTAGAGAAGCAAAAGCATTAAATCTTGGATCCACCTCTCATAGGTCAAAGGGACTCCAGATAAATATAGCCTAAGTTTCCCTGCCTGTCGATTCTTGAGGATGGGATTTTCTCTCTCCAGGGTCTTGGGACTCTGTGATCTGGGCATAACAGTAGCTGGTTTTCCCAGGGCTAACCACAAGAATCTAGCATTGTCATTCAGCAGTCTCTAAGGAATACCTGAAGCAGGCACAGGGCTGTCCACCTGAGAAGCAACTCCATGGAAAAGTCCCACAGTTTGGGAGGTCAGCTCTGTGACCTACTAGGTCCTCATTTGGAATGGTCAAGAGCCATCTGGAGCTGTCTCTGTCCAAAGGATGTTCTCTCTGAAACACCTCTCTTTTCACTGTCTTTGGTTTCAACTTTGTCTTCTGACTTTCATTAAAGATATCAAAGTGTGTGTTTCTGTGTGTCTCTGTGTGTATGTCTCTCTGTGGTGTGTGTGTGTGTGTGTGTGTGTGTGTGTGTGTGTGTGTGTGTGTGTGTGTGTGTGTCTGATGTATGTAGCTCAAACTAGCTTGAAACAGCCTATCTAGCCCAGACTGGCTTTGAAACCAACAATTCTGCCTCAGGCTTCTGAGTGCTGGAATCACAAGCATGTACTACCATATCTGCCTTCAAAGGTCACCTCAGATCTATATTTTAATCATACCATTTTGAGAAAATCTAAATTTGGTGAAAATCAATTCAACCATTTTAATTGTTTTTGTCTTTTATTATTGTAAAGGTATATAAGTTTATGCTAATTTCATGTTCATCATCACTCATCATGATAACAGATACTACTTTTGCAGTGATTCTAGAATACTATTCTGTATTTAGAACTATAACCTGGGTCTCCGTGTGATCTTTTTGTGATTACAC